AGTATTTGGTTTGTTTTGCCGACATCGATATATTTCGATATCGAGTATGGCATCTTCATTTTCTCACTACTTACTTTAGTGGCAAACACCATCCCGAATGGAAATTTGACATGCCGATTTGTAGCCTATTAAATTTTAGTATAATAGAGTACAAGTTAGAAGTCGCTAAAGATTCCGTTGGTTTCTGATAATTTTTTTTACTGACGGTGTTGTGCATTTTCTAGCATACGGCAGGATGGGGGGTTTCCTCAATTATCAAGGAATAATACTGTTTTCAGACAGGCAGTTAATCGAGCAATTATCCAAGCTTTCTCAATTAATGCACTAATTAAGATCGATTTGCCATACAAAATTTCAATTATAAATTGCTCGATTGGTAATTAATTGAATGTTTAATCGAGTAAAAACTCCAATGCAACTCTGTTAGGTAAGTTCGTTTTCTTAGTTTTGATGTGTTCAGTGTTAAATGACAATCAGCTGATTGACATACATTTATTATTTTCTTTTTGGAACCAAAAACATCAAAAACCAAAAAAATTTAATTTTAACTGCAGGATGCAGAACAATCTGAATGGTGAGTAAATAAACACAAATGGTTTGTGTAATGTTTATTAAAAACACATATGTATGTATTTCAGTTCGATTACCTCCAAAACCAAGAAAGAGGAGACTGGCTTGGGCAGAGGATGGCGAAGTGGCCATTCTTGATTTGTGGCAAGAGCGCGTTGCTGATCTCCGCGGTGCACGGAAGAATGGCCACATTCTACGCGGAGATGGCGAACGAGCTGGCAAAGTGTGGCCACAACTACAGCGCCCGGGATGTGCATGTGAAGTTGGCGAGCTTCACGCAACTCTACAGGTAAGAAGAAATAAAGGAATAATATTCAAAACCACTAAAAATTTAATTAGTTAATAGAAATGAGAAATTGGATATGGGACCTTCTGGTGGATCACCCTCAACGTGGCCTTTATACGCAAGGGTGCTCCAGATAATCGGTGGATTTAAGGCCAACATGTTTTGCGAGCTGACGCTTGAAAATATCAGCGGTATGTATGAGTTTTTGGAATGTGCCTTACTAAAAGCCGTAATGTGTTTAGTGGAGATATTTGTTTTGTAGCAGAGTGACGCGTCTGTGTACATGCTAGAACAGCTCGTTTAGTTGCAGGTTTAAGTGCGAAGGTAAACTTCGATTTTGCACGAGCACAGACATACGGTGGCGCTTCAAAACAAATGTTCCACTAAAAACTTAAGTAGAGAATGAAAATGTTCCCCACTTAACTGGTTTGAGTAGTAATAATAGAAATTTGATCTACTAAAAAATGTTCACTATTTATAATGAAAACATCTTTTGGGAAATTTTTAGTTATTTGTAAAACGATTTTGTGGTGGTGCACCCCAAACCACCCTAAACGAAAGAGGATGGAAAGCGCTTTACTAAAAGTAACCCATCCCCCCACAGACCCCTTGGGAGCTGTTTAAACATACGGGAAATTGGGATTTTTTGCGAAAGGATTATAATCCTCACTAAGTACAATTATCCTTTCTGTGTTGCCGAAGAAGAGGGGCTGAACACCTTTTGCAGAGATAATTCGTGGATACTTTTTGCGTTTGACAGCTCAGCTCGGTTTTTTTTTTTATTCGGGTCACGCGTTTTGCACATCAACCCAAAATTGTTGTACAAAAAACTATACCGTTACCTATCTTTTTAACTTCGATACAAGCACATATGTACATATGTATTTATTTAATGCTAATTTTATTTATTTCATTCTTATTTGTGTTTTTTTTTTCTTTTAAACAGAAGCCGATATAGCATCCCAGCCATCACCACTGACCCCAGTATTGCCGTCATCACTCAGCCCAACATTTTCCTCACCACTGGCATCACCTCTTCCTGCTGTGCCAACCACACCACTGCCTACACCGTCACCGCCGCTGTCGTCACCTCTCACTCCTCTGCCAACCACACCGCCACCGCCGCTATCATCGCCATCATCACCAATGCCTAGCAGCTCAGCTTCTGCGGTTGAGCCTAAAAGAAAGAAAGCAATGGGCACTTTACAAAAGAAAGTATTATACAAATTTGATGGGTTGTCAGCGGAGATAAGCCAACATATTCAGAGGAGTGAGGAAAATGAAAAAGAGTGGATGAAGATAGAAAAAGACAAAGCTGACACACTGAGGGAGATAGCCAATGATAACAAGGAATTAAAAGTTGGCATTTTATCATTTTTAAATAGACATTAATAACATTGTACAGCACTCGGCTGGGTATTGGACCAAACCAACTTTTTTAAAGAGATTGAGTCATAAGTAAAAAAAAGTTAGTTCTCCGTTTTTCGAAGTTAGCTTTAAAATCGAGATATGGGCCTTCGAAGTTCGAAATTGGACCTTTGGTAAAAAATTATTTTTAATTATTGCATGTAAAACGCAAAAAAGTAAAAATGCAGACATGGTCCGCCTTTTGCTCTCATTTATATGGTATATAATTTTTTTTGTGAAAACTTATATTACAGGTGCTATAACGGGTCAAAGGTCAGGTCTTCGAAAAATGAAAAACTTAATATTTCAGACAATTTTGAACCGATTTTAAAAAGATTCACATCGTTGTAAAATCTATTAAATGCGCTTTCTTACCTATCTTATTACTAACCGATTTTTAGAAATATGCATATCAGAAGAAAGGGGATTTAATCACCTTTACAACGATACCAATTGTTTAAAAATCGGTTAGTCATTTTTTTGTTTAAAATATTTTATTTTATAAATTTAAATGTGTTTTTTCTAAAATTTTTATATACAAAGTATAAAAATATGCATATCGAAAGAAAGCAGATTTAATCACCTTTACAACAATATAATTTTTCTTTTAAATCAGTTCAAAATTGTTTGCAATATAAGGAAATAAATTTTTCGAAGACCTGAACTTTGTCCCCTTATGGCACCTGTAATATAGGTCTGCACAAAAAAATTTATATACCATTTAAATTAAAGGTGGACTGCGCCTATATTTTTAGGTTTTTAATTATTTACATACATGCAATAATTTAATATAATTTTTTACCAAAGGTCCTATTTCGAACTTCGAAGGCCCATATCTCGATTTCGGAGGCTAATTTCGAAAAACGGAAAAATCACTTGTTTTGCCTATGACTCAAGTGCAGTTATTAACTAACAAAAAGTATATACAGTGTCTCAACCCAATGGCCACGTGTTGATATTAGTAATGTTTTTCGAGCTAAATTTCTTTTGTTATTTATTTATAAAAATACCGTCCAAGCTTTAACCAAAACCTTCAAAATCACTTGGGGGATTCACAACGGTGTCGTTAGTGTCGTATTGTTGTATGTCGTAAACTTTAAACGCCTAAGAAATATATTAAAAGGGTTCGCAAAGTACCATCAAAGTCATATTATGAACTTTCGCAGTGTTAAAAAATAGTTGGTTGTGGTTTTAACTTCTCTAAGCATTTATTTAAGCTTTTAAAGTTTACAACAATATGACACTTACGACACCGTTGTGAATCCCCCAAGTGATTTTTAAGGTTTTGGTTAAAGCTTGGACGGTATTTTTATAGATAGATAACAAAAGAAATTTAGCTCGAAAAACATTACTAATATTTAAAAACAAACAACACGAGGTCATTTGTTTGATTCACTGTAAATAAAAAAAAATGAAAATGAATTAAATGAACAAATAACAAGTAAGAAAGTCTAAGTTCGGGCGGAGCCGAACATTAAATACCCGGCGCAAGTATTAAATATATGTTTTCCACTTTTCCGAAAGCTACCGCTACATGATAAGCCGGCGTGTATAAATTTTAAGTAAAATAGCGTCCTTAAATTTCAAAATATTGAAATTTCAAGCATTTCTGAAATTTACCGTTATATGAAAAGCGGCCGTAATTTTAGTCCGATTTCAACAATTTTCAATGGTAAACGTATTTCCTGGCAAAGAATTGTTGCAACCATCATTTTGAATAAATTAGCTTTAATATTTACTGATTTATCGAGGATTTTGTATTTCTCGAAATTACCGTTATATGGGATGCGGGCGTGGTTATTGTCCGATTTTAAAAATTTTCGGCCATTTGGTATGCTGTACCAGGGCCAACAACTGTGCCAAGTTTGGAATAAATTGATGTAGCGGTTACCAAGATATACACATGTAACCATAAGTGGGCGTGGCTACGCCCATTTTCAAAAAAATTTTAATATTCTTATTTTTCGTCTAAAATTTATTATAAATATCAATTTTGAGTGAATTATCTTCAGTAGTTACTAAAATATCGCAGTTTTTGTATTTCTGAAAATTACCGTTATATGGGAGGTAGGCGTGGTTATTGTCCGATTTTGCCCATTTTCAATACCATCCGTCCCACGCCCGAAAGAAGTACACGTACCAAGTTTCATTAAGATATCTTAATTTTTGCTCGAGTTATCGTGTGCACAGACGGACGGACAGACGGACGGACGGACGGACGGACAGACAGTCACCGCTTAATCGATTTCTCTTTTCATTCTGATCATTTATGTATACATTTGTCTATATCTATCTCGATTCGTTTTGCCTGTTACAAACAACCGTTATGTGAACAAAGTTATAATACCCTTGTGCACAAGTGCGCTCGGGTATAAAAATTGTACTCACTAAAATAATTGCATAGTCCTTGCCTTATTTCTTCAGCTGAGGGTTGATTGTCTCCAACTATAGTAACATATTCAGGATTTTCGAGATTTCTGTTCACTTCTTGCAATCTCTCCAACCACATGTCATTTATAGTGTCGTTCATTTCATTTAAATAATTGTGCAAGACGCAGCAGGCTCTAATAATGATGGGTGCCTTCCCAATTCGGTTGTCTAAACCTTTTCCAACACGACGGAATCGTCCTTTCAAGTGGCCAAATGCATTCTCAACTACTCTTCTGCACTTTGAAAGCTTATAATTATAGAGTTTTTGTGTTTCAGTTAAGGCCATTGAAAACGCGTATGGCTTCATTTAGGAGGTGGAAAACCAAAACGCAGAATATCCAATAATCCATATAGGCATTTGTACTCCACCTATTTCTTTCTTACTGACCTTCAGTAATTCGTTCTCCTCCATTACTCGCTTCATTAACGATGCATTATATATCTGCGAATCATTGCATCGTCCAGGAGCACCAATGTTCACATATAAAAACCGATATCTGAACATATATAGAAATAATTAATACATGCTTTTTAGAAAAAAAAACAACAGGATAAAAGTTAAATTACCTATAATCCACTACAGCTAGTAGAACAATAGAATACCATCCTTTATAGTTGTGGTAGTCGGTTGCATCGGCTGGATTCGGCCTAACTTCGATGTGGCACCCATCTGAATATATACATATGTATGTACGTAAATCTTTGTTTTTATATAAATTAGTTACATTTTTAACTTTCTTACCAATTGTTCCGAGGCATTGGGGAAAGCCGAGACGGTCAAAACCATCAACACAGTCTTTTAAAGTTTGTGGAGTCGGTGGTAATTTTTTTATGTATTGCGCTGACAAAGCTTGCCAGACTTCCTCGCAAAACTCCCACAAGATTGTGCACACGGTCGATATTGCAACACCAAATAGTTCGGAAACCTCTCTGTACTCCCCAGACGATCCCAGCGTTAATAGAGCTATCGCAACGCGTTTTTGCAATGGAATCGCGTTGCGCCAGTTTGTGTCGGCTTTGTGCAGGTTTTTGAGGAAACCACAGAGTGTTTCGAAACTAGTGCGGTTCATGCGGAAGTGCGTCTTAAAGAAATGGTCATCGTTGCAATTGCAATTAACTTCCCAGAAAGAAGACTGCCGATTCTGTAATAGAGGAAGTATCATTTATAAAAGGACAAGAACTGATTACTTATAATTTGATTTACCAATTTCCAGAGGGATCTCTGAGTAGCGTTCCTCTGCAGTAACCCGTAAAGCAATAGCTGCTGTCTTCGCAAATGTTGCAAAATGATGAAGTTTTTTTTCTTTTCTCTTTTATATAAGACCATTGTACCTGCGTAGCTAGCCAGCACTGACAGCAAAACTTTTATATTTGCAGTATACGCAAGAAAAAGTTCACTTAAACACTTATTGTTTTCCATTTTACCAATTTATTGTAAATAAACAAAAATTCTTTTAAGACAGCTGACAGCCACTCCTTAATCGAGCAGCTGATTGTGTGTGAAACACAAAAATCGAATACTTAATTAAAAACTTAATTGACTGAATTAATTTTCTGTCTGAAAACAGTATAAGCCTTCTTAATATTGCATACAAGGTCCTGTCGACGATACCGTGTGAAAGACTAAAGCCCTTCCCGAACCGACTGATTTGACCTTATCAGTTTGGCTTCAGACCTGGTAAGTGCACCAATGACCAGATTTCCACAGCACGTCAAATTCTGGAAAAGCCACACGACATGCAAATCGACTCACACTAGGGATGTTAATTCCGGGATCCCGGCCTTTTTTAAGTCCGCCTTATGTTCACCAGTTTTCGCTATATTTCTTTTGTTTATTTAATATTTATAATTTTTTTTATGAATGTCTAGCTCATTATACATACACATAACACCGTGCGACAGGCAATTTTACACACACACAAATCAATATATTCGCGAAGTCATGGGCCAAATATATGCAGTAAAATTGCGTTTTTAGTTTTTTCTCTGACGTCAGGACTTTTTAAAGGGTCTTTGAAAATTGAATAATATCAGTAGTTCAGAAATTGATTTAAAAAATTCAGTGCAATATACTTAGAAAAATAATATGGGTATCAAATTAAAGAGAATTAAATTTTTTGGTGCATAAGGTATTGAAAATGTCCTTTTAAAATTGTATTCTTGATTATTTTTGAAATTTTGCAATATTTATTTAAAAAAAATACATGTTAAGGACTAATATAGACTCGACAACATCCTCGAATATAGTCCTTCTAACTTTATTAGCTTGAAATAAAAAAAATTTATTAAAAGGGCAAAGCAATTGACGTTTTGGAAGTCAGCCTATATATTTAATTATGAATGGTATGGTCGCATTACATCAACTTTGGTGAAGCAATTGGAGCGTCTATTCTTTGCACTATATCGACTTTGTCGCATTTGTTTTTTGGCAATTAAACGGCCATAAAGACAGTTAGATAAAGAAAACAATAGAGGCAAAAATTGCCGAAGCCAAATTTGCCTTAGTATCGGGTTTCGATACGAGTATTTGTTTCTCCATACCTACTCAGTACTTGGTTCAAAAGTATCACTGCCAAAATTACTTGTTCGAAAAGTATCGAGTATGTACTTGTATTTATCGTATCGCTTCATCCCTAATTACACAAAGACGAAAAAAATTTATCTTAAAACAAGGCGACGTTTTTGATCTCAAATATTAGGATAATAATTATTTTGGGTCTCTGAAATAAACCCATTTATTTATTATTTATTTTATGGTAGGAGAGCTTCTCAAACAATATAGAAGACATTTTTTCGATTAAAGTTGTTGAAAAGTAATGAGTATCTGAATCCGGGGATCCCGGGATTGTCCTAACGACATCCCGAAAATCTCGGGATCGTAAAAAGCTTAAAAATTAACATCCCTAGTATGTACGCATATTATAAAGCTCTCTTACTTTACCGTCTCTATCTAATGGAATGTGCACAGAACTTAGTTAGATGCACACGTGGAAAAATTACTACTCTTATGGCGTTTTCAAGAATGATAGAAAAGAAGACTGCGCCCTCAACGTTTCGGTATCTTTTTTAGTTTGAGTTAGCCAGCTTCTTTGATGTGACGTCATAAACGAAACGAAAATTTACCACAAAGAGCGACCAACTAGCAATTAAGTGAAAAAGGTGATTATTTCAAATTTAGTGTTCAGTGGCGAGTTTTAATAATGATTGGGGTGTGCACAGTTCGTTCCAAATAGTGTCTCAAAATGTAGACTTCTACATTTTAAGACGTTTTCTAACCGTAAAATCTGTGGTGTTGTTGTTTCCCATACAAAATTGTAAAACGACGCCGTCTACATTTTGTCACACTCAAAGGTATGTTTTTTACGCGTCTACATTTTGCAACCTCGCAGCAGGGTGCATTATGGCAATACTAATCACATTTTTTTATTTATTGGGCACGTGTTATGTATTTGCATTTAATTTGAGTGCAATTTCTGATGAAAAGAAACAAATCAAGGAAAAGAAATAACAAATATTAGGAATTGGTAATTATGTTAAATAATTACAATCTTCTTTTCAATCGTTCTTGGGTGTTTTCTTTTCTCGAAAAAATGTTACCTCTTATGTGGCAACATTTTCAGAGTGCAACACAGAAAGAGCTCGCAATATGCATGTGAAGATGCTGAGAAAAGAACACCAAAACTTGATAGCCCTGGTGCAGGGCAGAATAAATGCAACATTATTTCGAGAAAAGAAAACGCTATAAGATTTCATACTGCCAAAGTTATAAAATATAGCAGAATCTTAAAACTTCGAGTCTCTTGAGGCTGGGTAAACGTTAATCCAAAATTTTTCGTGCTGACACATTTACTAGGTCTTGGTCGATCTTTTCCTCCGATTTGTGGTGTGCGCCTTGACGTTGTCCTACACTTTTACGCCGACTCCGATTGGCAAATTGTTTTAGTGAAACGATTTTTTCATGGCAGAATACACTTGGAGGTGTGTCATTGCCAGCCGAGGTGCGACCGCTTACAAAAAACACTTTTCCTCGGACCAGAGTTCGAACCCTGGCGGTCACCAAACTTTATTTCAACATATCTGAAATTTCGCATTTTGATTCAACTCGCCGAAAATAAAAATAATGGGTTTGCAGCATTGTAATTTTCAACTCTGCGTTTTAAGGTATACCCTAGGCTATGTTTACTCTCCAACTTAGAGGGGAGCATTCAAAACCATTAGAAGTGATGGAAGGAGCAGTGTTGTCGGTTACAACTACATCCTATAAGAATACTAGCCCGGGTGCGTCTTGCAAATAAACCTCCACTCTAGTAAAGTGGCCTCAGCCGAACTACTTCTCACTTATTATAAATCAGTTGGAGCTACAGACGTCCAAAAAAACTTTATTTAAACACTTTCCCATTTACCGAGTTGTTTAACGATTTTAGAATAAATCCCTGGCATCCTGAGATTGCAAATTGTTTTAACATACCTGCGAACACAGCGAAGCCTCTTCGTGGAAATATCCATTGACGAAATCACAATATTCACGGGTGGTAATGCGGCATTCTCCATAGACTCCAGTGCAACACGGATGGCCTATCACCTCACACACCATATGCTCTGCGGTGTGATCTTTGTAGCGAAAACGTTGTGAAAAAGAATTCGTTTTTCGGCAGATGGGCCATTTCGTGATATCGTCTGGCCATTCGTATGGCGCTATGGATGCTGGTGCATCACAATACTTTGGATCCAGACCACAAACCGAACCGGATATACGACCGCCTGGTCCCGATTCTCCAGGTGACCATTTCTTCCAAGTCGATATAGATTTCTGTAATTATATAGGAATAAGCAAGGGCCCATACAAATTCCTTATTCCTAAGAATGTTTATTAAAGTATGTATCACTCACGGTTGGGAAAAGTCCGCGCACGGAGCAGTCCGCTTGTGAACTTTGTACACATCCAGAATCATCATTTCGAATACAGCAAGCTGTTTCACGTTCTTGGCGCCGCGTCTTCAACAGTACATCAATGATGCGAACATCACTGCGCATGCAGGTGGCAAACTTCGCACCCATATGCACCAAATCATTGTTCCTGGGCCCAATCCAAACATTTCGCTGTTCTGTGTGCTGCACTGTTTGCAAGCTAAGGCTGGTGACCAACACCTGACCAGTTTTCTGTTCGACCCCAATGCCGATAGGTCCGATACCGTAACATATAAGTGACAATAATAGCACCAAAATCTGCACTGTATTAATCCAGTAAGTAAAAAATGGCCGGTGATCGGCACGATCGTCGAGATCGGTAACAGAAAATAATTTCACCTTACGCTGAATCGGGCGTCGGGAGTTCTCTAGTACTCCATCGAGCAGCTGCGCCGAAATTCGATAGCCACGTGTCCCGTTCGTGGAATGTACATTTGGCAGTGATGATGCAGTAATCTGACCGGCGATCGCTGACTTCTTTGTCTGCTGTGAGCTACCAGCCATACTACAGACATTGCTCAGCTGCTGCCCGCCTAAGCCAACGCTAATGCTGACTCCGCCACCGCTGTTTGATGCTTGTGCTGATGCAGTTACTTGCTCATTATTTGTGGTCGCATGCGAGCTGCCGCCTATTACAGAAGAAGTGCGCCAACCGTGCACGCGTTCACCCATGTATATCTGTCGATGATGCTCAATCACTTTCGCACCGCTATTAGCTATCATAGTGGATCCGCCGGTCCTCATAAAGCCGCCCGTGACCAGCGATTGCGGCAGGGAGATGCCAGCTGCACTATTGCTGTTGTTGTTGCCGTTTAAGTTCCCACCGCCCACGGCTTGCTCAGTGCCAGCCGAGTCGAAAAACACTTCGTCGTCTTGCAACGCTGAAAGGCATTCGAAAGCGTCACCTGAGTTGTCGATACCATTAATATTATTTATGTGAGCTGGCGCAAAGCTGCGAGACCACTGCCGACAGTTACGCGTCTGCCGCCTATTTAAGGTATGAACAATAAATGTTAGGCTCGACATTATCATGGTAGCTACGGTCGCTTTGCGCTCAATATGATCACCTATTTGAAAGTCGGCATACAAGAAATGCCGTCGGCGTGTCGAGTATTCGATTGCCAATTCATTGTCTTCCGTATCGTGAGCGGGTAAAATATCAGGTCGTTCCGAATGATGATGGTGATGTTGATGGTACTGTTGGCTTGTACCACCGGAGCCACCATAGCAGTTCACACGGTTATTTGCTTCGCCGGAATTGTTATTGCTCATTTCCGCATGCAGCTCGCTGTCGGTCTTCAGCGCACCAAAGCGACGGAGAGCGAGACGTCGTTGACGGCCTTGCCAAATAGCAAACTCTTCAGCTTCCGAGCTGGCATCTACGCCAAAGAAGCGCGCTATCTCTTTGCGTATATACTGGCTGAAACGTTTCTTACGCGAAAAACGCTGCATTTTCTGCTGTTGCTGCATTAGGGGTTGTTGTAATGGCGACGACTGCTGTGGCTGATGCATAACTTGTTGCTGCATTGACTGCATTAGCTGCTGATGATTGAACGAACGACTTCCCCCCACGGCTTTATGTTGTTGCTGGGGGCCGCCTATACTGCCTAGGTTGCCGCTAACCACTCCAACATGTTCTGTGACTGTGCCCTGGGTTATGACATTTTTCGGTTGCTGTTTCTGTGACTTTTGCGCAATGTATATTTGCTCGATCTGTTGCTGTTGCAGATGTTCGACCCCACCCCCAATGCTACCATCATCCATTTTGCTCGGAAATGGAATGTGTGAACTATGTGCACCAGCCACCGATGGCGAGAGAGGGGATATATGTGACTCACTGGTAGATGGTGTCAATGTAAGTGACGCATGGTCTAGAACATTCTGTAGGAAACCGCCGTTGCAATTATTCATACCACCAACAGCGCCGGTGCTAATGACATCCATCATCTGTTGTAGTGGTATGGGACTGATGGGCCCCGTTGTTTGTGTCGTTTGGTGTACGCCCGTTGTGCGGCGTACTGTGTTGCAATGCAAGCAAGTCGTGGCTGCGCCCGCATTGGAATTCATGCTGCTGCTGTTAGCTCCATTTCCGGAGTTGCCTTCTATTTGTGTAACGGGTGTGGAAATACGACCGCCAATCGGGCCGACAGCCGTTGCAGTCGCATTTATGTATTCAATGCTTGGCGTCCGTTGAATGTAATCACTTATCACATTTGTATTATTTGCGCGTGCAGAACTCGTCGTATTCAACCGGCTGACTCCTACCACATACATGCCGTTACAGTTGTTGCCAGGGACAGTTGTCGGTGATGCAGTAGACGACCTACCTGACACCGAACCAGCAACAGAGCCCGCCAAGGTCGATGAAGAAAGGCATGAACCAGTGCCATTAACCTTAGTAGACGCCGAATGACCAGTTGTTTGCATTTGTTGATCGTGCAAGATGAGTATGGAAGAATCTTTGCCTATCGCAGAAGTGCATTTCGAGTTTACCATAACGTTTGTATTACCACTATAACAAGCGCTACTGTTATGGCCACTGCGACCGCTGTGACTACTATTTCCATAGGTTGGTCGCGTCCGAGGTGAAGTGGCGTAATAGTCGGTTACGGAGAGTGGTCGATGTTCGAGATTATGGGTCAAGGGCGAGGTATTTAAATTGGTTGTCTGCGTCACAGCTGGATTGTGCGGATCATTGGTGCAGCATTTCATTCGAAAGCGATAGGGCAATGTGTTGACATGTTGCGTTGTGTGACCGCCGGTACCGTTTACGCCGACTACGTTGCTGTTGGTTCCGCATTTGCTTAGGGTTTGTGGTGTTTGTGGTGGTGGTGGCTGCATCGATATGTCAGTGTATAGTTCGTTGGGCGGTGGAGGGGTCGGTACGTACCGCTTGACTGGCGTGTGCACTGTCGATGAAAGGTAAGTGTATGTGTCGCTTGCCACCAGCGGCGTACTTTGTGTCAAAAAGTGTGCGGAAGTAACGTATCGTGCGGCACTGGAAGGCTGTGATGTGACTGCGCCTGTAGCAGATGCATACGCGTTTTGGCTGCCAACGCTGGATGGGTTATTCAACACCAGTGATTTGGGTGTAGGCACCTCACGATATCGATCCGACAAGCGAAACCGCGTATTCGGTGAAATTGAACACTGTTGCATGCTGCTTACGTACTTTTGCGTGAAGTTTGTGACACAACCACTATTAGCAGCCAGCGGTGATGTTGATGTAGAAGATGATAGTGATTGCGCGGCGTAATGAATATGCTGAGGTTGCTGTTGATGTTGATGATGCTGCTGTATATTTGCTTGTTGCGACTGTGCGTTTCCGTTAGCGCTGCTATTGCCTTCGGCGCTATCGTAATTAGCGTATGTTGCGTGCATTTCCAGGCAACTTACATTACCATTTGCACCACATATCTGTGCACTTTTCGGTGACGCAACTCCCATTATGTATCTATCGTTGTTTGGAGCTGGAGATGGCGGTGGCAGACAGCAATTCGTTGCGTCATCGTATCCCGTGATCGGCTGAATCGATAGTTTGCCATGGTGGTGTAGAAACATCTCGTTCGGGTGCGGACTGTACCGGCCACCTGTTGAGCCAGTATCGCTGCAGCTATTTCCAGCCACGACATCGTTATCGTTAACCATCTGCAGCTGCGGCTGATAGCCAAGCATTGACTTACAGCGCGCGCCGCACACATTACTGCTGCTTACGATGCGTCCTCTGCTGCTGCCACTGTGGCCACCAGTTTGAGATGCGGCGGTTGCTGTGTGATGCACATGGTGGTGTAGATGATGATCGCTTTCACTGCAGTTCGATGGATTCGGTGAGATCATGCTTCGACAACGAAGTTGGCAGTAATTGCAACGGCATCAACGTCAGTGATTACTGGCGCGAAGTATCCTGTGCAGTAGTAGTGCAACAGAGACCTTAAAAGAAATAAACAAAGTAAAAATTAAACGACTCTCTTTATGTGCCTGTATATATATTTGTATGTATATATTGTTTACAACAGGTATAAGAGCTAGAACTAACAGCTATATTCAAGCGCTTTCAGTATGATAGCATTCAAATATCTATGTAATATGTTTTGCATTTTTTATCCTATTCATTCAGGCTTGGCAGCGACAATATATAGAAGCTCTTGCGTTTAAGGGAGACCTCCAATTAAATATAACTCCGAAGAAGACAATATGGCTCCTTTACTAACAAAAACAGTTCCCGCAACAAAAATTTCCCAGAGTGAGACGTCGGGTCTATCTCTGATAAAGAAAGGCACGGTGGAATGCAGGGTTCTTCGAACCATCCTAAGCTGCAGGCGATCATGGCATCTTTAAATCATAAATTCAAAAAAGCACTGATATCATCGATCACCCGGTTTGTCTATTTTGGACTGGTTATACTTGAGAGTACATCCCGTGTAAATGGCAGAAGGTATCCGTCTGACTTAATCTTAAATCTGGCAACCGTTCCTAAATCATGTAAACCTATATGTTTAACTTCCTTTAAACTTAAGGACATCGAAAGTTAGTTAAACCTACTCACAAGGGAAAAACTCAGAATTTATGCTGCCCTAAACTGAGCGCTTATATCCAAATTAAATTGGCGGATTCCGCCCTACAGTACTTGGTTAGTAAACCGATCATCGAGTCTAAGGAGTTTCCTCTGTTTGCTTTCTTAGACACCCCTAAAAGGCTTTCGCAAAGTGAGCTCGATTTTAAAAAATATTTAAGAAATTTAATTCTCATTACTAAAGTTATATTGTATATTTTTCCCCATGTTTCTCTACGAAATAAGAAAAAAGGCATTATTAGCAATTTTAGCAACTAATCGGCAGTGTTGCCACTTGAGAATATTTTTATGTAACAAAATACCTAGGAAATCAGTTTCCCAACTATAAAACATTTTTCCATCATTAAAACGAAATTTCTTGAATTCACAGATTTTTTAGCCACACAAATTAGCAGTAAAAATTAAAATCTTTCTGTTAAGATAGGCAATTTTTCGTTAAATTTCAACAGCTGATCGACCATGGCTTTGGGAAGTGAGAAAGCTCATACTTGTGATAACTCTTACGTGTGACCGAAATGAAATCAATTTTTGAACGTGGAAACGCAAAGTAACCCAGCCAGCAAAGAAACGTAAGTTTTGCTGACAGTGCAGTCTCTTACATTTTTCGTATCCGGAAACGCACAGAAAACGACTACAGTTTTCGATAATTCACGCATTCAAAATCGTTCAAAAAACAGTGCGATTTTCGTACCCAGAAAAAAAACAGAAAACGATACAGTTTTCCTTCATTTTCGTATCTGGAAAACATTCGAATATGATGACGTTATTTGAAAGCAATAACTGTATTTTACTTTTTCAAGCGGAAGTGGCTGAGTGTGCGAATAGTGTGCTAGTATTTGTTAGCTTTCAGAAGATTTCCTTAATTTATCTTTTTTCGAATTATGAAAAAGCAACAGACAAAAACGGATCCGTTTCAAAACAATTTTCGGTAATTTTCAGAACATGTGTACGTTTCTGTCGCATACTTCAGTGGTTAAAGTATCTGAAAATGGAATCGGTTAAAGGACAACAATCCGCATTTCATCGACTTTTGTTTCCTTTACGGTTCAGTTTTCGGTTTTTTTGCTGGCAGTAATGCGAACAAATTTTAGTACTCGTCATTGCCTCCGCTAGGTCAGGCACCTTGCCGTTGGTGCGGGGGCTTAGTCAAATCACGACCAGACCTTATCATCGGGTGGTAGTGTAAACGTGTCTCTACCTCCGGGTACTGTGCGAATGTACTCCATTTCCTATGGTTCGGTCTGCTTGTAAGCGATGACCAAGAACTGCCGACCCCCTAGTCCAGGGTGTTAAGCGACACCGTGCCCATTGGAAGGTTTGCAGCCAGGGGGTTTACCAGACCGGCTGTATTTTACCGGCGCCTTCCTGACACCGGGCCGCCTCAGGGAGTAACGGTGGCCTTGCTGCGGCATGGGGTGCTGCCGTTTTGGACCACTTGAATTCCCCTTTTTATGAACTAGACCACTGCGCCTGCCTCGTTGGGCAGGTTGTCGTACGAACAAGATGAACACAAACAAACAAAAACAAAATCAAAAACAAAATCAAAAACAAAAACAAAACCAAAAACGCAGTTCTACTGACAAAACTTCGAGTGGTGGAGGGGATTCGAAACCGATCCATCTCTTCCGGTCCTCTTTAAACGAGGCGGAATCGACTCGTGGGCAGGGTGGGGCAGCTGCTGCTACAGGGTGCAGTAAGAGATCGGAGCCGACCCCCTCGTCTGCACTTGTCTGTGGTGGTGTCGTTGGGAACCCACCGCACCTAGACTCGGGGTTAGGGGCGCGGGCGAATTCGCCTGCATGCAGGACGGAGGCGGGGCCGCAGATGCAATCGACTGCGGCTCAGGACGTAAGGGCAATAGACAGTGTGGCCGGTACCAGCCAAGGACTTGTGGCTTAATCTGGGGGAAATCCCCCCGTCAGGCCTAAACGGCACGCTGGGCCGGCCAGGAAAGCACGCGATGACCGTCGCTGGGCTACCAAGACCCTGGAGCGCTACGGCGAGCAGGGTCCTGCGCAGCTATCTGAGCAGACCGCGCGATCGCTCGAGTGGGCCAGGGGGGGTGCTAAGCGACGGCCAGGAGGACTGTGGTGAGGGTCTTTCTGTGGATGCGAGCGCATCCCGTATTGACCCTGTCAAGCGGCAGAGATCGCAGGAGGGGGAAACCGCCCTCTCCAAGAAGCCCAGAGCGGGAGGGACGCCTAAGCTCTTTAGCGAGATCGCTAAACAGGCGGGCTCTATCACTCTGGGCGTTATGGATCGAGGTAAGGAGGACGGGGCCATCGCCAGGGAAGACTGGAGGAAGGTGTCGTCAGCCTTATCAAGAGTTTTCAGGAGGGTGGTCAGGGAAAACCCGGGGCCAGCGCCGCGGTGCGAGAGTGCTGGGTGGCACCAGGGTATGTTTAAGAAGGTGGTCTGCGCCGACGAGCAGTCGGCCTCGCTCTACAGGGCGGCAGAGGCGTTGGTCGTGGAGGTGTGGAAGGGAGCCATACTCGAGATTGTGGTCAAGGGGGAACTTCGCTCGCGTCCGCGTGCTCGGGTCTGGCTTCCCTCAGCACCTTCCACGCTGAGGGAGGTGGAAGATATCTTCCGCTACTGCAACCCGGACCTTCCAGCGCACAACTGGAAGGCAATCCAGTTTGAGAGTTCCGACGGTGACTCCCGGCAAGCGCTGATGCTGCTGAATACGGAATATCTCAAGCCTCCCGCCGAAAAACCGGGAGTAATTTACTATGGCCTCGAGAAGGTAGTCATGAAGGTCTACCAGACTGACTCCTGGGGAGATGACAAGCCTGTTTCGGTTGCGCTGGCTGGCGTAAACACGAATCCGGAGAATGTCCCCGTAGGTATGGAGGTAGAATCTGTCATGCCGGACAGTGACAGTATTGCTGGCCCTCCTTCATCTGGGGGCCCGCTGTTCGACAGGGTGGAGGAGGAAGTGCTCCTTGCGTCCGATGGGAATGGCGCCTGCGGAGGGGTGCTGGAGAGGATTTCGGAGGATGAATATTCTTCAGATCAATCTTCAGCACTCTAAGGCGGGGTCAGCCAACCTCTTAATCCGCCTTGAGCAAGGTGGAGTTGATGTAGTCCTGATCCAGGAGCCGTGGCTGAGCAGCTGCAATAAGGTTACTGGTATCGGGACGAGGGACTATAGACTGGCGGTGCAGCGGGACGCAGGTAGACCTCGATCCTGCATGCTCATCAGGAAGGAACTTAATGCTTTTATTCTGCCTCTTTCAGCGATGGTGACATTGTGACGGTGAGCCTGGAGGATGCAACCGGAGAACTCTGGTTGATCTCCGCTTATATGGCGCGCGAAGACGGGGTGCAGCCACCTCCGCGCTAATAAGGAATGCGGTGGCAGAAGCTAGACGCAGGAGGGTCGCGTTGTTATTGGGTCTGACGCGAATTCCCATCATACGATTTGGGGCAGCTCTGACATCAACACTAGAGGTGAGTCACTCTTTAACTTTACTCTAAATGAAAATTTATGTATATGTAACAGGGGGCGACCCCACTTTTGTAACGGCAAGTAGAGAAGAGGTTTTAGATATCACGCTGGCCTCTTCTGCTATAATGTCCCGTATATCTGGCTGGAGAGTCCTTAGTGACCACTCCTTCTCCGATCATCGGTACATACAATTTGCTTTGGACGAAGCGCGTCCTAAGCACGAACTTACAGGAATCTGAGGAGAACCAACTGGGACTCATACTACAGAAGTCTGCAGGAAATGCTTCCGGTTGCGCCCGTAAGAGGCGGGACCTGGACTGAAACCGAAATTGACGAATTAATTGGTGTGTTCACCACTTCAAGTAAAAGGGCCATTGATATGTCTTGTCCCCTGAGTTACCACAAAGGTAAGATAAAACCGCTCTGGTGGTCGGAGGAGCTCTCCGATCTTACGGCTTCGAGCAGAGGCCTTTTCAATAGGGCCAGGAAGAGAAAATTAGCCTCCGACTGGGCACTGTATAAGATTGGGCTTGGGATGTATAAGTCCGAGATTAGGAAAGCGAAGAGGACGTCGTGGAATGTCTCGGAAATCCTAACCGTGGATCGCCTTCTGTGGGCCATTAGCTCGTTCCTGCCCTTTAAGGACCCGGGCCCCGATGGCTTAATACCGGCCCAACTGCACAAGTCTGCAGAAGTGTCGTGCCGCTGGTTGATGCCCATTTTCGAGGGCTGTTTGGCTAAGGGTCATGTTCCGGTCCCTTCGAGGGTGGTCAGAGTGGTGTTCATTCCCAAGGCGGGTAAAGCCTCTCATGTATCACCCAGGAATTTCAGGCCGATAAGTCTCTCCTCGTTTCTTTTGAAGACGCTGGAGAGGCTGATTGATCTGCATTTAAGGAGCGGGATCCT